GTGATGACAATAACAAGGCTTGTCATTGTGATCAGCATCCGCGGCGCAGGGCTGGGTACAGTGTGGGAGGGAATTAAACATGATTCACTCAGCATCACTCTGAGCTGCTGTAAAATTACACAGAATTGAAGAAAATTACTACGGGGAGGTGGTTCAAACACATAACAATTTTAAAAAGTATAAAAGTCACTTTGTGAATAAGCAAGTAATCTGAAAGTTCAGAAAGTCAGAGAAAGCTAGAATTAAGAAAACATTTTTTAGAGAAATCAGGGCTTAAACTGGATAGACTCTTTCTCAGTTAAAAAAGAGGAAGAATGTGTGAGAGAGAAAGAGAGAGTGTTCCAGGAGGGTGTGAAAGGCAGAATGATAGACAGACATCTGGGAGGCAATTCAACCAGCTTGTCTGTGATGTTCAGCGTGTGGAATTGTGTAGGGTGGGGCTGGGTTGCAGAGGCATTTGTATTAGACGCTGGCTCATTCATAGGGAGCCAGAGAAGGACAAAGTAAAGGCAGAGCCTGAGCTGGACACGTTGTGAGAGAATGCAGGTACATAAAAGGACTGTTATAATCCTACCGTAAAGGAAAATGACTGCATGTGGCATATACACTCAGTGAACTACTCTATAAGCTTCATAGAATTATTTTTACAAATAATGGATGCTATAGCAACATGGAAAATTCTGGGTTCTTCATGAACTATTTTTATCAAGAGATAAGCTTATAGACAAAGACCCAAATACAAAAAGAATTGCATTTGTGCTTTGAGATATATGTGTAATCTCCCCCAAACCACTCCCCCCCACCACCACCACCAAAAAAAAAAAAAAAAAAAGACAAATAAAATTTGGCAATGGCAATTTGTCCTTAGGATAAAAAGATAAAAATAAATAAAAAATGCATGCCTCATATACATTGTGTAATTTGAACTTCACAGTAAGCCTAGGAGATAAACAAGGCAGACACGGTTATCACCATTTACAGATTAGACTGAGTCCTAAAAGACGCCTTGCCTGATTACTCATCTAGGGAGAGGTCTTCTGAGTCCACTAATGTGTTGGTAATAAAATGGGGAAAGTTCTCCATCCCTGCTTTTATACAATTTAATCCCATTTCATCAGTGTAACCCTTGCTTCGTGCCTTCGGGGAGAGGAAGAAGATATCACTTAAGGGTGAACTCAAATAGCAAATGGAGACGGGTAAACAGACATTCTCTCACTGCATGCCCTGGGTGGTAATGGCTGCATCCAGGAAATATCCCAAATGAGTCCATCATTCGGAATTTTATTGGCCTGAATAGTTTTCAGGAGAGTAAAAACCAAAGGAAGTGTCCATAGACTTATACATATTCATTGCCCACATGGAAGCATAGTGAGGAGCTACGGATTCCTCTCCACGCCTGACATCAATTCCGAATCTCCAGTCTTCACTTTGTCCCTATGAAATGCGACTATTGTCTTTTCTGAACACAGTCCGTGTTTTCCAATCGCTGCACATTTGCTCTCGCTGTGCCATCCATCTAAAATACCCTCTTTCCTCACCGCACTTTGTCAAATGGTAGTCATTTTTCAAAACGCGCTTCAACTACCTCTTGCAAGAAGCCTTTTTTTTTTTTTTTTTTTAATTCTGTTCCTTTCTGCCCCTTGCGGCCTCCCAGCACATTATTCTCCCGCAGTACTTATAAACTGTCTTGTTTCAAAGTTGTCTGTGTAGTTACCTGATTCTTCCTATGAAATTCTGATGTTCATTCAAGAGGAGAGGAGGAAGGGACCTAACACTTCCTAAGCAGTTACAATGTCAGAACGTGCCAGCAACCTCACTAATTTTTACCAAGAATTTATAGGGCTAATTTTTACCAGGAATTTATAGGACTCAATACCACTGTAAGTGCTTTTAGGTGAAGCCCTGAAGATCTACCTGCATCAACTCATTTAATTTTCCCAGTAGCTTTATGGGGCAGATGCTATTGTTATCTCCATTTCACAGATAGGGAAAGCCGAGGTCTAGAAATATGAGTTACTTTAGCCGAGCTCCCAGTGCTTGGAGCCATAATCCAAATCTAGATAGTCAGCCTTCGGAGGCCTTGGCACTTGCCCTCTATTCCTAAGAGCTTCCTACCCCTGAGAAGGAGGCAGGTCTGTCTCAATGAGTCTGTGCTCAAGTCCCTGAGCTTCCTGGGATTCCTGACCCTCCTGCCAACTAGGCACTGAGCTCCCTCGCTTCCTCCCCAGATTGGGGCAGTGCCGTCCAGCCTCTGGCTTCTATCTTTTCAGTCCTTCATCCTGCTCTTGGTCATAAGACCCCTGGAGAGCTTCACTGACCAGACTCCAACCCCCGGGAAAGAGGCTTGGAGTCCCCAGTCCTCGGTCTAAGTGTGGGTCCTTCTATCTTCCTCCTTGAATGTACCCCTCAAACTGAGAATAAAAAAATTATTCTGCTGGAAAGCACCTGTACCGATTGTTGCATTCTCCTCCTAGTGAGTCCCCGTCAACATCCCCACTGGCAGTTATTTTAAAAGCTACTAAACCGGAATTCTTAGCCTGGGGCCGAAGGCCTCCCTGATATTTTATTTAAAAGCATTTTTCTGCAGAAAGAGCCCATAACTTTCACCAGATTCTTAAATGAATTCCTCTAAGTCCTTTGTAAACCTTCCTTAAAGCATTTTTCCTGTTGGGTGATCCACTCCTCACATCAAACATTGAAACATAATTGAAATCCACGTTAAATATATTTTTAGGTAATTATTAAATACTTCCTTTGACCAAGTGAGATGAAGGTATATTTTATAGACATGTACTGAAGTATTTGTTTTTCCTTTTTCAGTTTTCTTTTTGTATTCTAGATCCAATCACGTTTTTTTTAAGATCTCAAATATGGTCATAGGCCCTTGCAAAGCTCACAGGCCTGCGAGGCTGTGCCCATTGAACCACATTTGACAAATGGCTCTGGCGTGGATTCCTAACTCACTGAGGTTAGAAAACACCGCCTTGAAATGTGACTTCCAGAACACCACCTGCTCCATGGATTTCCTTCTGCCCTCGGCTGCTTCATCCCATTCCTGATCCTCAACCTTTCTTTCTCCCATATCTTTGTGTCTCCATTTGCTCAAAAAAGGATGAGACTAGGATTTTTTTTTTCTTTTTCTTGGATCCTCCAGCTTTTCCCCTGATCCTGGGAATGCAGGACCTGTCCCTCAGGGTCACGGGGAACCCAGAGCGGAAAATCTCAAACCCTGATGGTGGAGGGGTCGTGGGTAAAGGCTGCACACAGGGACTTTCTCTCCCTGCTGTTCCTTAACCTTCGCTGGGCAGGGCAGACACCATGAGGTTTGGAAATGATCAAAGTGTAGGACAGGCTGAGTTGTGCCACACGTTTTGGGGGGATAATTTCCAAAGCCAGATCTAATTGTGCGATTGGGGCTAACAATCAAGAACACGGGCAATATATGGTCTGATATTAGCATTTCCAAAACTAAGAGATAAGAAATAAAAAAGGATGTTAAATCAAGAAATAACATAGCTCCCCTAATAACTTTCAAAATGAAATTGAGAAATTATATATAATTGAGTATATTTTTTAAATTGCAGGGAAGAGCAGAATTTATATTCATAAAAGATGAGGCTGTCAGCAGGGACAAAAGATAGGCGCAGAATCTTTATGAAACTGCCAAGGCAAGGACATAGAATTCCAATGTCTCTTTACCTAGATGCCTCTTCCTTTCCTGGCTCTCTTCTGGCCCTTATTGCTATCTATCTGTCTGGTTCTGTGGTTGTTTTTAATGCAACTGTAATCTCACTTTCTAAACGGCAAGTGCCTTACAATTCTTAGCATTCTCACAATGTCTCTACACCATGGTCCTTCGTAGCTCTTCGATACCCACCTACTTGCTAAAGGAATACATGAAAATAGGTCAACATATTATTACAGTCTATAAGGAAACAGATTTCCATCTGACCTAAAGGTTGCTTTACTGGTATCTATGTAAAGATCATTATAGAAATGCACGGCTATGTCTGCTTTGACCAATAGAATACAAGGAAGGTGATAACTGTGTTTGTGCAGGGCACAGCGTTTAGCAAGACTGGAAATGTCCACCTTGGTCTCTCGGAGCTCTAAATTGTCATTTAAGAAGTCTGGCTACCCTGAGGTGCCATGCGGGAACAGCTGTGTGAAGAGGGGAGAGGGAGGAAAAAAAAGAAGGGGGGTGGGTAGCAGGGGAGAGAGGTTGAAGGGAGGGCAGGGATGGGGAGAGAAGAAGGGAGGGAGAAGAGCTGCTCAGCTAGCCTCCAGCTGTTGGAAACCTCAGCCATTTGGCTATTCCCAGTCCAGCTGAGGCTCCAGACACCGTGAAGCACAGAGAGGACCCTCTGCTGTGCTTTGTTTGCATTCCTGACTCTGAATTGTGAGATGTAATACTACTGAATTGTTGTTTTAAGCAACTAGATTTGGGCACAGTTTACGAAGCACTAATAACCAACTGGTTGGGTGGGGAGGGGACATCTTTCAACAATAAAGATAATTTTTTAAAATAATAACCAACTGGAAGAATGTTTTAAACTATCATAACCAACTAGTAGTTCAATTCATACACGTATATACAAAGATTGCATGAAATAAAAAAGTCCACGCTGCATTTCAAGAATCTAAGGGGTTCAGGGAACTTAAGCAAACTTAATTTTCCATTTTTCAAACGAGGTTTAATATTAAGACTTAGGACTTAGAGAAAGCTATTAAGATTTTTCAAATAATAACTGATCTCGCCTCCACAGCGGTGATTAATCCACTGTGGGTATAATTAGCAAGAATGACATATAAGTTGCAGGTGAAAAGAATTGAGATCTTTCCTTCATTTTATATCCATACACACACACACAAAATGTGATACACTGACCCAAAACAGCAAAAAGCTATGGTCAGCTCTGTGTCTTGGAACCAGATCGTCTGAGAGCATCTGTCAGGGGGCCCACACGCAAGCCTGACACTGATTTGTGGGGGAGAGGATCTCACTGAGCCGTTGTTTCCTGGAGACCCGAGTTCTTGGTTTCAGAGCTCCTAAGCTGCTCGCCCACCGTGCCAGAGCAGCTGACTTCCCACAGCGTGTACTTCAGTATCTCAGCAACCGAGGCTCGAAAGCGCGCCTGGAACTTCTTACTAATTAGAACATAAAGGATGGGGTTCAGGCAGCTATTGAGGAATGCCAGAGCGGTGGAGAGGGGGAGGCCAGCCCGCAGCACCTGGTGGACATGGCTGCCCTGGTGGATCCTGAGCTCCCAAATGCTAAATATGTGATAAGGGGTCCAGCAGATCAGAAAGGCCAGGACCAAAGCTAGGATGGTCAGGGAATACCTACTGGAGACCAGGATGCTTTGCTTCTTCACCTTTAAGAGGAGGCACAGATAGCAAACGCTCATGGTCAGCAAAGGGGCGAGGTACCCATTCACAAACTTCACCCAGGTCAGCACATGGTGCCTCATCAAGGCGAGGTCGTAGTCGTGCTCGTGGAAGTTGTGGTAGCACAACGTGTGGTTATTCACCTCCACTGTCTCCCGGAAGTATAGGGAGGGACCCCCGATGAGAGAAGCCACAAGCCAGATGAACACGGTCACGATCTGGGAGTTCCTCAGCGTCCGGTGCCGGTGAGCCACGACAGGGTGGACCAGCTGAACGTAGCGGTCCAGGCTGATCACCATCAGGAAGAACACACTGGCAAACATGTTCAGCTGGGCGATGAAGGAGTTGGCCTTGCACAGCCAGAGGCCAAAGGGCCAGTGGAAGTTCATGGCCACATAGGCAATATAGAGGGGCAGGAAGAGAAGGAAAATGAAATCTGCCACGGCTAGGTTGAGGAACCAGAAGGTGGTGACTGTCTTCTTCCACTTGAAACCCGTGAACCAAATGACAGTGGCGTTGCCCGGGATGCCCAGCACAAAGGCCACACAGTACAGCACCAGGGAGACCCAGTGCACTACCTCCAGGGGGGCTCTCTCTTCTGGAGGAGACGCCGGGGAGGAATAGTCCAAGGTGTAGGAGTAGTTCTCAAATTCTTCAAATAAAGTTTCCTCTAGGTCTTCCATGACCTCAAGAAGGGGAGAAGGAGGACATCAATAGCAGCCAATTAAAGAAACAAAAAGAAAACACAAAACAATTTTCAAAAGAACAAGACAGGTTCAGTGAATAGGAACGTAAGGACAAGCATATTGCAGCTTAGGAACTGGAGAGAGTGTATTAAGATTCTTAGCAGTATTTGTGATTAGACTCCAGCGTCCAAGTGTTGGTGGACCTCAGCTTCATTCCGATTGTTCTTAAAGCTGTGAGAGTTCGTGATTGTTTTTTAATTGATTTTTTTTTTTTTTTTTTTTTTTTTTTTTTTTTTTTTTTTTTTTTTACAGAGAGGAAGGGAAAGGGCTAGAAAGCTAGAAACATCGATGAGAGCAAAACATCGACCAGCTGCCTCCTGCAACCCACAACCAATGTACATGACCTTGACCAGAATCGAACCTGGAACCTTTCAGTCCACAGACCAATGCTCTATCCATTGAGCCAAACTGGTTTCGGTGAAAGCTCGTTTTTCACAAAGTATTCAGTAAGGGTTATATTAAAATGGTTGACTCTTTTAATTTAGAGTCATTTAGGTGCAAATCCTCAGTTCATAATGCTTATGGGGCTGACATTCAAGACACTTTTTAGGTTATTCCTAGGCATTATTTATGGAAGATGAAAAAAAAAATTCCCACAAAATACTAGATTAATACTTATGTGGTGATAACTTTAAAAATCCCTATTTGTAACATGATTTCTTAAGTGCTAGACAGATTCCCAATTGCTTCCTCAACCCATCCATCCGATGTCATAAACAAGCACTGGAGATTTTTAACCACTATATTGCACCCATGGATGGTTTGATGTTATGTTTGTGAATGTACATGTTCATCAATATCATATCAATATGGACAGCTTTTCAACCAAAAGGAGTCTTTTGTAGTAAACTTGTCTCTGGACATTTAATTTCTCTATTAATTGCCTATAGAGTACAATTAAGCTTTATTACATTTTTATTTTACCAAAGTTCCTCTATTTTGAATGAATTTCAATCAATTCCTTTCTAAAATTACAACAAAGATTTGATTTATTAATTGGTTTTATTTTGTTTATTTTTGTCCATACCAAATTTTATCTATTGTCATTTTGCCCAAAATAAAGGTGTTTTGTTTCCTTGCAAGGCCCATTTTCCTGGGTTGAGACTTAAATATCAGTATTTCAAATCAAAACAAAGTTTACTGGGTACAATTTTAGCGTTATCCGTTTTATTTTGTGTTATTTCTATTGGTATACAAAATCAAGTAGAAAAATAATTAATAGTTGTGTTCATTTCATGGAGCTACAATCATTAAAGAGGCAAATATGTAAGATTCTAACAGGGTTAGAAATGAAGAGTGAAAACATCTTGTGTTGCTTGCTCACCGGCATCTCACTCTCAATTGACTAACTCTGAATTCATCAGCCCACCTAAAATCATTCGAGTAACTTAACAGGGCATAATTAAAAAACAAATGTAATTCATTAATGTCTTCCCAAACCAAGACCCAGCCAACTTCTCTTTATTCTTCAATATTCAGCTCAAATGCCACCTTTTCCTGTAAGCATTTCTGATATTAGCTTCCCCCTGATAATTATAATAATAACTTGTATTACAAATAATAGTCAATGTTATTGTAAATTTACTAACTACCAGGCAAAAAAAATTTGATCATCGAAAGACTTTTATACAGTAGGTAAGTACTATTATTATTTGTGTTTATAAGAAAGGATATTGAAGCTTGGAGAAGCCTCGTGATTTGCCCAGGATCATGCAACCTATAATTGGAGAATCGGCATCTAAACTCAGATCTGTTGGACCCAGAGCCCAAGCTCTTAACCACTACAACATTCCCTTCCCTGTCATACTATTCTTAACATATGTGACGCACTATTATCGTTTATTTAACTTTAATTTTGCCCTCCCAAACTGAACCCCTTTGAAGCAATGTCATCTCTATACCCAACAGTGCCTAGGAAAAGTCTTCACACATCACAGGTATTTAACATGTGCTTAATACATAATTAGCTCTCTATAAATCCTGTTCAGAACCAATGGAATTTTAAGGACTCAGGTTAGAGTTTGTGAGTTCACCTCTAAGTCAATGTTGCTGCCAGAATCTCTCTGACCGTGACCCACAGCTCTGTCTCCAGGATCTCTGCTTGTTTCTTAACAAGTTCTTTCTTTCACATGCCCTACCTATTCCAATGAGCAAGAATTGGCTTCTTCTTTAAAAGTAAATAAATAAATAAATAAATAAATAAAATAAAAAAATATATTTTTTAATTGATTTTTTTTTTTTTTTTTTTTTTTTTTTTTTTTTTTTTTTTTTTTTTTTTTTTACAGAGAGAGAGGGAGAGGGACAGAGAGTTAGAAATATTGATGAGAGAGAAACACCGATGAGCTGCCTCCTGCACACACCCTACTGGGAATGTGCTCGCAACCAAGGTACATGCCCTTGACCAGAATCAAATCTGGGACCCTTGAGTCCGCAGGCCAACACTTTATCCATTGAGCCAAACCGGTCAGGACAAGTATTGGCTTCTTTCTTGCTGCCCTATTCTTTTAGGCCTGAGGTCTTACTGCACTCCCCCGGCTCTTCTGATGGCTCTCCAGTGCCAAATCCTTCCTAGCCTAGTCTCCAACTTCCTGTCCTGTTTTTCTGCCTGTATATTAGGGCACTCTTACCTTCCTAATGCTTAGGACCTGTACTTAGGCTACTAGCAATTCTACACCAAATGGCCCAGGTGGTGGACTAAATCACCTTATCAAACCCCAAGCTTTAAGTAGAAGAAAGCTCATTCCCCAAGCATGGAAAAGCCCATGGAAGACCCCTCATTGCACACAACCACTATTCTCACCAAAAGCCAGGAGCCCCCCACTTTCAATGTCATTACCGACCCTGCTGAGCCCAAGTGATCACAGGGCCTGATGAAGGACACCACCCTCCTCTTCACAATTCTCTTGGGGTGAGGCAGTACCTTGAGGATGAATGATCTATCTGAACAGAAGCTCTTCAAATAGAAAACTGTACCAGAGAGGGTCCTAATCTTCTAGAAGGCAGATAAGATGATTAGGTACCAAAACCAGTTGGAGAAAGAACTTCAAGAGGAACTGAATGCTGCCCAGCTGAGTTGTTCATGGGAAATACAGGCTCAGAGTTCCCCCACTACTTAGAGCAGATGTTTTTGTGTGGCGGTGATGGTAAAGGTAGGGGTGAGATGGAGAGAAGTGCAAAGCAAGGCAGAATTTAACACTTGTCCTATCCGGGTGAGGGAGCTAGTCACGTGGATATTTTCAGGCAAGTTTTCAAGGCAGAGGAAACAGCCAGTGTGTTTAAGGAACTCTCTTGTTAACCATGGAGACTGAATATGGGAGCTTTTGCAATTGACTATGGTTGGCTACTATGTCGCCTGCGTTATAAGAAAAGGAGGGGCAGGTCTTGAGTTGCGATGATGCTGGACCTATACTGTGTTGGCAGAGTTAACGTCTTCCGCCCTATATTTCATCATCTAACTGTCCCAGGAGCAGGTGGAGGCTGTAATGGGTGCAGTAGTCCAGATCCGGAGATAATGGGATTTGGGTGAACCGAAGAGCAGTGGACTTGCTTTCAGAGAACAGCAGCTACTCAGTTCTAGCCAACTGTTTCCATGTGGAAAATGAGCACTTAGTGTTGCCAGAGTTTTTGAAGACTAGCTGAATATTTATGTTTTTAATGTGAAAAGTTTCCAAATTCTAAATTACTGTTTTAAACAAAATAGCTATGGGCCACATTCAGTCCAGCTGCAAGTTTGTGACCCTTGAGGCAGGCAAATTTGTAAAAGTTTTGAGCTTTGTAAAGGGGAAATCTATACATTAAAACAGAATCTATACATTAAAACTCCACCTAGTAATTCAGTTGGATAGAATGCCATCCTGATATACCAAGGTTACAGTTTGATGCCCAGTCAGGGCACATACAAGAATCAACCAATGAATGCATAAATAAATGTGACAACAAATCAATGTTTCTCTCTCTCTCTCTCTCTCTCTCTCTCTCTCTCTCTCTCTCTCTCTCTCAAATAAAAATATCCTCTGGTGAGGATAAAAAAAAAAAACAAAAAACTGGACACATATGAGAATGTAAATGAAGTGTGTGAAAATGCAATCTCAAAATAATAACTGCAACCTCAAAGTAAAAATATGATCTACAAAAAAACTTACTACCTTATGAATTTCTGCCAATTTAAACTTAAGGCCTAAACTGAAAGAGATGTGTTTTCAAACTTTTAAAAACTGATTATTTTGCTGTATCATCCATCATGTCATGTTATACTTACCTGTTCATTCTTGGTGAGATAAGAAAGGCAAAAAGAGGTACAGAAAGAAAATATGGGGGAATCATCCTTAGTTTAACCATATGGCACATGCATGTGTGTTTTGGAGAAGTGATGCGGGGATGTGAGTGCAGACTCAGGTGAAACTGGGGGCATTTCTGGGCAAGGGAAAGGAGCCTTGTTGGGTAGTAACTGGAAGGAGGATGCATAGCAGCCAAAGTAGGCTTTTAAATGCAGATTTGAAGGAAATATTGTCATTTATTTATTTATTTATTTATAAAAATATATTTTAGCCGAAGCCAGTTTGGCTCAGTGGTAGAGCGTCAGCCTGCGGACTGAAAGGTCCCACGTTCGATTCCAGTCAAGGGCATGTACATTGGTTGTGGGCACATCCCCGGTAGGGGGTGTGCAAGAGGCAGTTGGTCGATGTTTCTCTCTCATCGACGTTTCTATCTCTCTATCTCTCTCCCTTCCTCTCTGTAAAAAATCAATAAAATATATATTTTAAATAAATAAAAAAAATATATATATATATATATATATATATATATATATATATTAATTGATTTTAGAAAGAGAGGGAGAGAGATAGACAGATCAATCAGTTGCCTCCTGCATGCCCCCTTTGGGGACTGAGACTGCAACCCGGGCATAGGTCCTAGTCAGGAATTAAACCTGCAAA